GCCCTCCGAGGCCCCAGAACCGCCGCCCAGCCCGGCTACGGAGCCGTCGGCCGCTCCAGACCTCACCTGGAGAGACATTCCTCCCTCAGGGCCTGGATGACGATGCGGGTGATGTTCACGGACATGATGCAGAAGGGGAAATTCTGCAAGAGAATGGGCGTTATCGCAGCTCGGCTGGAAAAAGCCTCCCCTTTGCGGCACGCCGAGGTGCCCAGACGACACCTCCAGCCCTTTTACGCCGCATCCGCGCGGCCCCAGACCCACGGGATGGCGGCTGCAGGCCACAGAACCGGGCAGCCGGGTGATGATACCGGGGATACAGGCTCAGACGGACGCTGTGGGTCAAGCCGAGCTTATATCCAGGCTTAAACCCAACCGCATCCGAGACCAAAATGCCGAGTTTAAGGAGACGGGCTCCACTCGCTCCCATTTTCACGCCGTGCTGCTCTTCGCCCGCTTCTCCGGCCCTTTCGACCCGCACAAGTTCGGCTCCAACCCAGGAAACCGGGAGCGAACCTCTGATCTCCACCGGGACGCTGCAATCTCGTTCCCAGGATAAAGCCAACGCCCGGAGCTTGGCTCCAGGCTCTGGCCGGAGCTCCTCAGCTTTTTGGGGACCGCCTTCCTCCCCTCACCGGCGGGAGGGGGGTTTAAACAGCAAAAAAAAAAGTGAAGCCCTTACTCTGAAGAGAAGGTTTTTGCGCTTCCCTTTCCCCAAGCGCTAGAAATAAAGGGGTAGATACCGCCGCAGGGAGCAAGCGAAGAAGGTGGAAGGACGTGCCTGGGTTTCGTGCTGGGATAGTTTGAAAATCTCTTGGGCCAGAGGCAGCGTCCGAGAGTCCATGACGAAGTACAGCATCTGCATCAAGCCCAGCATCCCCGTCCCTCGCAGGTCAGTCCCAGGATCCGCACCTGGAAGGGCGGGACAGGCACGCGAGTGACGGCACCGAGTCGCTCTCGGGTCGCCTCCCCGCTTCCACGGGCTCTTTATACCCCGTCCCGGTGTTTGAAGAGCAGAGGAATCCCAGCGATTCCCTTCGGAAGCCACATCCTGAAGGAAAGCTCTCGGGGAATTGCCCTAAGCGGAGCCGAACGGGCGCCGCAGCCTCTTTCACGTGGGCATTAACAAGCCCTCGCTCTCCTACCCGCGCACCCATTCCCGCACCTTCTCCGGGAATCACTAGCTCCAAGCTCTACCCACCCCAGGGCACATTTGGCCGGTAAACTAACGCTTAAAACCAGTCGTGCACTCGAGAGGACGGAGGAGCGGGAGCCATTCCCCCTCCCGTTGAGGGTTTTAGGCTTCATTAAAACCCGGCCTATTTAACTCTCGAGTCGGCCAGCCCAAAAACTCCCGCGAGGCCGCACGTGACGGCTTTAATCGCGCTGTTTTTCTTACACAGCCGAGGCCGAAAGCAACCTGCGACGCAACCGTAGCGACAGAGCCCCGACCTGCGCTTGGCTAATAAACCAGCCCTCCGGAGACGGCTCATTAGCCGCAGAGATCGCTTGCTAATGAAGAGCGTTAAATGGCCCGGGCACGGCGGTTACGCCAACCTACTTCTCGTTATGCCTGCGCCACGGGCAACTGCGGCAGCGGGTTATCGGCGTTATCCGGCCGGCCAGTCCAGATGTTGCACTGGCTGCGGCAGCTGGCTGGGGCAGCGACAGATCTGCCCCAGAACCGGGGCCGGTTCCGTTTAATATCGTTATCAACGGTCTGGACGAGGGGGTCGGACGCACCCTCGGGCAGCCGC